GGTATGTTTATAGAATGTTACTATATTGGAACAGTTATTTAGCAATAGTTACTGTATCTATTATTCAGTTAAGATTTCCAATAGTTAAGTTATTCTAAATTCCTCTTTTTTTGTTTGTATTTTAACTGCAGTGATTAAATAAATTAATTGTTTTGCTTAATATCAAGTAGCTTGACCAGTCACATTGCATTTAGAACATGGCACTTCACATCTACCTCTAAAATAAGAAAAAGTTATGGTCTAGGCTACCTTCTTAAAATATATTGAGGGGGTCTAGTCCATAACACCTGGACGGCGGGATGATGGTGGTGGGAGTTGTTTGTGCTCAGGTGATGTTGCTGCCGTCAGATGGCTAGCGTTGCTGAGGCCCCTCTGTAGGCCCAGAACTGAAAATCACAGAAGGTTTCCTTTGGGAATCTGCTCAGAAGCCACCAGAGTTTACTTTGTGAGCCCCCTTTTCAGTATTGGGCCTCGTTGGCACAGTCAAAATGCCAGAGTGCCTAGATGCATGCCTTTAATGGGACATCCTATGGCTCAATTTTGCTTCTGAGGTGCCAACTGTGACATGGTGATACTAGACACTCCACCCAACACTTTCTCCTGCCATACCGTGAGCCCAAACTCATTAGGCTGGGAATATTCAACCATTAGGTTGTCTCCCTATACAGGTAGTTAACATATGCTTTCAGAGAAGACTGTAGCTGCAAGTTCCAACATCTAACAGCTGTTAAAAATTGCATTGTTCTAGGACGATTAGATCAGACTCTGTATAGTTATGGTTATAGATTAGTCATCTCCGCATTATAAGATTTAAGGCACTAATCATTAACTCGATAAGGCCGACATTTGCCTAAGTGTTGACGAGCATTCATTTCAGTTGGCCATTTGCCAAACCATTAATGTAGAAGCATAGATTTTTTGTGATAAACTGGGAGGAAGTTCAATATTTAAATGGGGAAGAGAATAATTTATGTGAGCTGTACTTAGAAGTGAATGTCAACCAAAGCCCTGAAAGTATGTGTCTCCTCAGCAGATGGAAATACACTTCCGAGGGTCAGTGCAACTTAAGTACAAATGTGTGCTTATTGTTTAACCTGCAGGATGTGAAGCTATTCTTAATTGTATGTTCTCATAACATTCTATCATATACAGGTTTTGTGGACATTGGATATGCCGCAAATAGATGCTCTCACGGGTTTGTTCTTTGTTGCCATGAACAGTGATCCAGAAGATTTCTTTTAATTCATAAAATTAAAGGGAAATGAAATAAGCAAAAAGCAAACTGCCTTGTGAATTTCCGTTTGGTCTCTGCCTAAGACACAGGAGCAGACTCATTCCATTGCCAATCAATGAGATCATCATAACTGATTATCTTTACATGCACTTTATTACCTTTCCGCAATAACTGCCATTCTTCTACCGATTAAAAATCTGTCTTGGCCTTGAAAATACTTGATGACCCAGCCTCCACAGCCCTCTGTGGTAAAGAATTCCACAGATTCACTACCCTCAAAAGAAATTTCTCCTCATCTCAGTCTTAAATGGACTCTCTGCAATTATGCCTTTTGATCTTAGACATCCCCACAGGGGGAAATAACTGCTTCAATCTACCCTGTCAAGTCCCCTAAGAATCTTACACATTTCAATAAGGTAGCCTCTCATTCTACTAAATTCCAAAAAGAGTACAGGCCCAACATACTCGAGCTCTCCTCATAAGATAGTCCGTCCAGTATCTGCCCAGTGAACCTCTGGGCTGCTTATGATGCCAACATCTGTTTCTTTAGATAAAGGGGCCAAAACTGTTCAGTTTTGTACTTTGGCTTCTCTGGTCCTTTTCATATTTCTAAAGAAACTTTTGTCTCTATCTTGATACTGCTTGCAAGTTTACATTCAAAGTGCATTTTCTTTCTCTTTTCTTCTGTCTTGTGCGATTCTACAAGATAACTGAGGCAACACAACTGGACTCCTACAAAGTTGCTGTTGCCACTTTACCCAATGACCAGCTAAATTATACAGATTATTGAAGTTCAATGCAATCAATGTTCTTTGCTAGGTAGTGACCCTTAAAATTTACCTCACTGTTCTTTGGTTTGGGAAGAAAAATCCATCAAGCCAATTTTGTAAGTGTGTGCTCAGTCATGGGTGACAAATTAGTGGATACATGATAAATACTCTCTTGGGCAAGATAGAGATAGAGCACCAGCACCCATACCGTATCTTAGCCAAAACAAAACCCACAACTTTCAAGAAGGGACACAAGGGAAAAAAATTAGCATGGAGGAAAGAAAATTTTTTGAAAATCTCCACAGCAGATTGAAATGTACAGTGTGCTTGTGATTACAAAACAGATCATAGAACCACACTGGATGCCTAAACAAACTTTAAACATGGCAATCAAACAAGGCATCATTTGTATTTCAGGAATGATTGCAATAAATACAAATACACATTTGATAAAGTTATGAAAAATAATAAATGAAATAAATTAATTATTTGCTTTTTAAGCTAAAATCAAGAACAAATAATGGTCAGTCTCTTCTTAATTGGTTACGTATTTGCAATTATATACATTGTTTTTAAAACCCTAAATCTACAATAGTTCACTCAATTTTGCCAAATACTCAGAATTACGCATTTAGAACAAAATAAGGTAAATCTTGATTTTTGCAAAAGATATGTTATGGTTGGCTTTGTAATTTTATTTGCTTCTATATGAGTTAACTTAGGCTATGGGGAACGGTAGGTTATTATGATCAAGGAGATGGAAAGTTTTTCCACAGTGCTGACAACAGTAGATTTTATAACCAATACACAGCAGTTTTGACGTGCTAACTTAAAATGCAAAATAAATATTTCCATTCTTGGTGGTTTTCAAGAAAGGATTTATGAAAATTATTTGCATTGGTGCTTTGTAAATTTTGAAACCTTTCACATATTTTACTTCGCAACATTACTTTGCAAATGTTGATGTTGTCCTCCTGCATTTTTTTTTTTAAAAAAAACTTTCCAGGGCTGATTCCTTACCCCCATCCCAAAATAGCAGAAGTGGCTGTAGTTTTCATATCTTCTGGCTACTGCCCAAAGACCAACCTGATAGTCGCCAACATCTTTCCTTCATTGTAAGATGGGTGGATACTGGCACCAAAACCCATTTGCTGGGGTTTATTCTTTGTCTGCAACCTTGGCGAGATGGAGAGCCAGCATAATTACATCATACCTATTTCACTTTAAATCATTTTCTTGTTATCATCTTCTGCCCCAAAAATTACAAACTAGATATTTCTACAGTGCAGTATCAAACAGGTTAGAACATATGGCAATGTTCAGTAAATATGTAAAATATCAATTAATCTTTGATTAATGCTCCAGTTATCTGACAGTTTCATTTGATGTTTAAGTTTTCTATGTAAGAATCACTTACCTATTCCATTATCGACTTTGAATTTTGGGGTTTTCAACGAATGAGCTGACACACAAGTCTAATTTTTTTTAAAGATGAGCTAAAATCACAATGCCAATTAATGTCCTGCAGTTACTAAACTGTCACGAACATTTAAGGGCATTTTTATTTTAATTTGGGCAACACAGCTCCCACCAGGATTTGGAAAGAATTGGGTGGGATTCTGGAATAATTTTCACAAATTTAAGTGTTAAGCTACAATGGTTTTACTACCAAAAAATTTTGAGATTCTGCCTATATTGTGTTTGGTGGCGTTTAATAATCCCTGTGTAATTTAGACAGATGGAAAATCAAGTGGGCCCTGTTCTATGTTCGCGATCCTTCCAAACCAATGCTTTCCTATGCACTTTTTCTAGACTTAGTTACTTAACATCAAAACAAGAAACACAATACTTTAATGTTATTTCATGATTTTCCCTAATGCATTTTTACCAACAATATTTTCTTTGCTGAGCATTTACAGAAGCAAAGCTATGTCATTTTACTCCATTCAATCATTCTATTCACAGTGAAGCAGCAATCAGACTTATAGGCTACAGATGCATGAAAGAACTGTAACGGGAGCTTCGGGTGTCTAGCTTTTCTCAATCCATCTTAAATTAAGCTCCAGTGTCAGATTCACAGAAGTGTTTGCTACAGATTTATTGCGCATAACTACTTTGCTACAGCCACTTGTTTCAGCGAGATTTTCTGCAGTGAAAAACAGTCCCAGCTTACAGTCTGGCTGTTAACAGTGAATGATTTATCCAGCCATGATGAGCTCAATTCAGCTGACGATTTACAAGTTATTCAAATAATTAGTCAAAAAAAGCTTTCATCTCTGAACTGCAGTCCAACTTTCAAAAAACAGCACCTCATTCAAACCATGTGGTACTTCACTATAAATGAATGAGTTGTTGATGATGCATTCAGTTTAAAAGGGATAATTCTGTATAGTTTTTAATATATTCCAAAAGGAATGCTATAATTGATCAATCATAATAATGTGATTATATTCCTTTCCAAACATTTCGCATAAAAAGAAAACAAATAGGAAAAAAATGAATGTAGTATATTATAACTTGCTATAGCATAACAGGTGTGTTGTGAAATAACTATTGTGTACCTTTACAGTCCTGTTTCGTTTAAAAGAAGGTTAATCATTTAATAAAACTAACTTCCTTAGTACCAATGGAATTCTTTAAGGATTTAAGATGAAGGTTAGCTGAGATGGATGTTTCACAGAACATCAAAATGGCTCCAATAGATCACAAGCATGTTCTACTGAAGGTGATTAACCTTCATGGAAACAGTCTTTCATCCGTCAATGACTTCACAGCCCTGTATGTGTTTAGAACTGGCATTGCAATCTGACTATTCAGCATTCATAGTGCAGAGATTCTTTAGGTTTACCGCCACAATTTGATCCTGTACGGCGAGAATTTATTGTCGAATCGAAGATGAGTTTGTTGTTTTGTTTAATCCAGCTCTTGGAGCAGGGATTTTGCTGCTGGTGGGTGGGGAACGCCCTTTGGTCCCAGTGGGACCAGACTTAGAAGTAGCCAGAGTCCCAGATTTTTCTGTTTAAAGAACAAAAAAAACATTTATTTGACTTTAATAAGTATTTTTCTTTTTAGCTGTCCTAATAGTATGAACAGTGATAAGAAACATTAAGAGTTACTTTAAGCAAAGGCCCAAATGCTACAGTAGTCAAGGGGATGTGACAAGTTCACTGAAAGCAAAATTTTTAAGCAACCTGGCAGCAACAAACCAAGAAGATTGCTACATAGGAGCAGCCCAAAATATGTACAGTTTTCTGGTTGTTAATGTAAATAGAAAAAAGGTGGGAAGAAAATAAACTTTCACCTTGAGTTTGATGCACTTGAAAGACTCAGGGAGCAAACATATGTCCTCTGCAATAAATTATAGCAGCTTTCATTATAAATCAATACTCCAGCTGGAAGTGACTACCAGGCCTGTAACCTCAATGAGGTGAGCTAAGCACAAATCTCACATGTGTCAGTTATACTGTGATACATTAAATCCGTACTTAAAGTTGTGATTGCACTCCTGAAAAATTGTAACTTCATATGAAACACTGATTCTCAAAAGAATGCATGTTGAAACTAGATTCTGTAGGGTCTTCTTTATCAGATTACAAAAAAACCTTGTAAGTTGAGGTATTTTACATTGTTACATTAACAAATTAAATAACTTTTTACTGTAATTAATACTGTACTTATGCTTGCTATGGATCTTCCTAAACCTCCCACTGCCTGGAGATTCTTCCCCTCCCTGGTCTTCTGATTTGCAGCCCTCAGAGAAGATTCAATCATGTAATTTTGTTCAATGGCAAGGGGAAATAACTGGACCCTCTCTTGCTGGGAATGGTCATTGCTTGTGTATCACAAGTCAGTTGGCACTCAAGCACTATCAAACTTGAATAGATTGCTGCATATAGGAACAGACTGCTTCAGTAGCTGAGAGTTCATAATGGTAATTAACAGTGAAATCATCAATAAATATCCCCACATTGCACATTAATTATCTTTCCTCCAAAAATAATAAAACTGCACCTGCTTGGGTCAGGACATCACTGAAGATCACTTCTGAAGAAGGGTTTTTGGACCCAAAACTTTGACTCTACTTTCTCTCCACAGATGCTGCCAGACTTGCTGAGTTTATCCAGCAATTTCTGGTCTTGTTTCTGATTTCCAGCATCTGCAGCTCTTTGGTTTTTAAGGAACATGGCATGTTCACCTTCATTGCGAGAGGTTGGAGTGTAAGAGAAGGGAATTTTTTTGCAATTATAAAGGGCATTGGTGAGACCGTATATGGACTGCTGGATACAGTTTCAGACTCTTTACACAAGCAATGACATGCTTGCCTTTTACGAGGCAAAGGTTTACTCTATTGATTCCTGGAATGAAAGGGCTGGCCTATGAGGTGAGATTCAGAAGAATGAGTTGATCATCTCTGGAATTGAGAACAATGACTAGTGATTTGGTCAAAAATTACTGTTGCTGTATTTTTAAAATGACATTTACAAATCTTTAATTGTGCAAGCATAATCATTTACTCCAATGCATCCATTTCAAATGGATGAATTAGCTAAAATTTGGCTCTTAAGGTGGCTCTAATTTATACAAAACAAGTTACCTTGCTGGAGTTGCTGGGTCCTCTGTAATGTCTGCATTCGGCGGGGGTTCATTTTACAGCCGTCTCTTCCCATGAGATGCACTTTCCAGCCCTAGAAGGGTTAGGAGAACAAGAAAGCCTCTGTTAGTTACAATCTGTCTGGTGAGCAGCTCCTTGTGAAGCAGGGTTGCAGACAGGGCCTCTGCTGAAATCTGTACAAACCACACAGGGCGAGTAGGTCAGCATGTCTGCCAGATAACCTAATTTTTGCTTCAATATACAAAGCCATGGCTTTATTCAAGGGCTGAACATCTTTAATGGAGTGGAGCCTTAAAACAGCAGCATAGTATTTTACTCATCATATTTTTTTCTTTTAAAATCACTACGCTGTGAAATAGTGGTTGAATTTACTGCAATGTAAACTATGAAATGGTAACATTTTCAGGAAAGGAATTTCAAATCTCAAATCAGAATGGCTAACAATCTATATTTTCAGTTTTTGGTTACAGTTCTGACCTTTCTTCATTTCCATGTGCTAAGTATTAATTATTTATACTGCAGTAATGATAGCTGTACTCTCCACAAAACTTTGGATTTGCCTTTCTAACAACTGTAGCTGAACTCTGCCATAACCCCTTGCATTTTTCTTGGATCAAATGGAAGAACGGGCACCGAACTCAAACGGTTACCTCTTTTTTTCTCCACAGACGTTAGCTGACCTGAACATATCCAGCAATTTCCATTTTAGCTTGTTGTTTGCCATATATGGCCTGTTCTAGGAGGTCAACTTGTACTTGAGTTTAGCATTCCTTCACAGAAAAGGGCAGTGGTAGTGGCTGGTGTGGTTGACTTATATGTTGAGTCCAGGCCTAAACAGGATTTTCGGCACGGGAACAATGGGGCTCTCTTATGTAGTGGCTGACTCGTCTTGATTAAAAAAAATTAATGGGATGTGGGTATCCCTGGCTGGACCAGCATTTATTGCCCACCCCTAATTGCCCAAAGGGCATTTAAGGGTCAACCACATTGCTATGGGTCAGGAGTCACACGTAGGCCAAACTAGGTAAAGGCAGATGAGGTTTTGAATATACTATGCCACCACCTACCCTTATGGTTAGCTTAACAGCATCATATACAACACTGAACAGCAGGAGCAAGGGTTATGAGAAATTACTTTAAGTTTTTTTTAAATTTACTTGCAGGACATGGGAATCACTGGCTGGCCAGCATTTACTGCTGTACCCAGTTACCTTTAAGAAGTGTTTAACCAAGTGATCTGCAAATACAACAGTCTATCCTTATGAAACAGAACTCATAGTATCCGATCTATCTTTTTTTAACTGATAACCAAGGTGGAAGATATGAGATTGAATAAAAAGAACAGACTAAACCAGTCAGGCAGGTCCATTTGGTTGATACCAAGCTCAGAAATACAGTTTGAGGAACTTCAATAGCTTTTAGATTTTAGAAACAAAAACTTTGGTGAAAGATAATACAATAAAATAAACTGTTTTCAACATAGTAAGGCCGTAGGGAGGAACATGTTTGTAGAACAGCATGCTGGCAGCTGAGAATGAGCCAACAAAGACAGTCTGCAAGTGATAATGACCAAGTAATATCAGTAGTATAGAAAACCAAGAATTTTTTCAGCAGGGAGTAAAGTTGGAGAACTGTTCAAAGGTTACTCATCATCAGTGAAGCCTTTTCTTTTGTTCTGCCCAAAATTGCTATTGACAGAGTGGAAGAAATTATCCACAATATGAGACCTATCGGGTCTGCACTTAACCTCCAAACAGCAAACCACCCAGACCCAGCTTCACACCCTATCCCTGTAACGTGCATTTACCATGATTAATCCACCTAACCTGCACACTTTTGGACTGTGGAAGAAAACCGGAGCACCCGACAGAAAACCACAATGTCATAGGGAGAATGTGCAAACTCCACACAGACAGTCACGCTACACTAAAGCCAAACCCAGGCCCCCTGGCGCAGTGTGGCAGCAGTGCTAACCACAATATGAGACCACCATTTATAAACAGGATGAGGTCATTCAGCCCTTCAAGCCTGATCCATGAAACAAATCCACAACAGTGGATTCACCTTGGCCCCTAACACCTAAACATTTTGTGAAACCAATATCAATCTCAAGTTGAAATTTTCAAATCAACTTCCCATCTCAACAGCTTCTCAGGAGAGTTCCAGATCGCGTGCTTGTGCATTAAGCACTTCCCGAGTTCATTCTTGAATGCTAATCTCTAATTTTCCTCACATGGGCTGAGCAAATAATTGGAAACATTAAGTAGATAAAAAATATTTGCTTTCACAATGGCAGAGATGCATGTATTCAATTTGAAGTTGGGAGAATAGGTTGAGACACAAGAGATAGCAGTTGTTCACCTAGAACAGATACACATCAAAAAACCATTTTGTTGAACTTCCACAGGAGTTCTTTCAAATATTTACTGTAATTTTGGCAGAGTGTTACGGAATCAGAACAATAGCATCTGTAGGAAGGAGGAAAGATGTAACACGATATTGTTTTTGACTCCGTCAAGTCACATACCAAGTTAGAAGTTAACTTTACTCGCAAACAGACATGCTCAGCTTTTCACAAACCTTAATAATAGATAGTTGGCTCATGTGAAGGAGGTACATGGCAGAGGACACACAAGGAGGAAGTTCAGTTTAAGAACTACCATGAATGTCTTCTTGCAATTTTGCCTCTACTTGGATGTGCTTTTATAATTTAGTTCACATTCCTTAGTTAATGTCCAAGTGCTTGAGATTCCTGGGGCATTAAGGCCAGCTCTAGGAGAATGAACCTGTACAGGTAGGACAAGGTTGTACCTAAATAAAGCAAGGACCAATTTTCTTGTCAAGCAATTTGACAGTTCTATTGAGGAGGGCTGCTGAAACTAACTAATTGTTGGAACTAGGAGATAATGTTACAGATGAACACCAATAGAAAAGTCAAAGTGCGCAGAACATAATAGCTTCTCCTTCCTAGGCAGTCCTACTGGATTGAAGACGACTCACTTCTTCTCTCTGTCCCCCTCAAAATAGTACTGTTCAGTTCATGTGCTCTGTCCTCATTCTTCATTCCAAAATATGTAACTTTACACTTTTAGTAAATTTCAGCTGTAATGCACCTGCCATTTCACTAGCCAATGTCCTCCTAAAGTCTGTTCCTGATTATTAGAATCAGAATCCTTACACAGTGCGAAGAGGCCCTTTGGCCTATTGGGTCTGCACCTAACCTCCAAAGAGCATCCCACGCAGACCCAGCTCCACACCCTATCCCTGTAACGCGCATTTACCATGACTAATCCACCTAACCTGCACATTTTTCGACTGTGGAAGGAAACTGGAACACCCAGCAGAAACCCACATAGACATAGGGAGAATGTGCAAACTCCACACAGACAGTCACCCAATGCTATGATCAAACCCAGGCCCCTGGTGCTGTGTGGCACCAGTGCTAACCACTAAGACAGAATGCTGGCAGCTAAGAATGAGCAAACAAAGACAGTTTGCAAGTAATAATAACTAAATAATGTTAGTAGCATAAAAAATGTTTATTTTATAGTATTATCTATCAACTCAGTTTTTGTTTCCAAAATCTCAAAGCTATTGAAGTTTCTCAAACTATTTCGAGCTACTGTGCCATTCTAATTACATTTCCAAGTTTTCTGTCATTCATGAACTTAAAAATTATGCCTTTTATACTCAACTTCATGTTATTATTCAATATCAAAAAGAACAATGGCCTTAAAATCAACACTGGGATTTTCCGTTCTGGACTTCTAAGTTTTAAAGGAGTCTATTATGTGGTTTAACAAATACCTTAAGACCAATGCAGACCATCTTCAACTCTCTATAATCCTTAACAAAATTTCTCAAACACTTCTTGCTTTGACCAGATCTCTACTAAATGTTACTTATAAACCTATGTTTTTCAAGTGACAATTAACTTTGTCACAATTATGAGCTGGCAAGCATGTGGTTACTAGGCTTATTCCCTTTTGTTTTTAAAACAGGCATCTCTAACCCTCCATATCATATGGAGATACACATGAAAAAGATGTGGACAAACCCATTCTAAATTCCCTCTGCAACCTAGAATATATCGAATACAGACTGGGCGACATTTGTATTATGAGTGCTTAAAGTAGCTCCTTTTATCTATTTCAATCCTATCCAAATTTTCTGTACATTGTTCCTTTACTGTAACATCAGTGGCAAATTCTCTCTGTGAAAACAAACCACCCAGTGCTTTAAATGTTACATATGAAAAAGGAACCAAGCAGTCAGTTTCATACTGGCTCATCCATTATGCTAGATATCCCAATGGAAGAAATCCTCCAGTACACTCGTTACTGAATTCTAGCATTGACTCTTCCAACTTCTGATTGCTGAATTAAATATTTATATATAAGATTTAACAATGGAATATTTTAATTTATCTTTCCTTTCAAGATACTTGCATTTCAAATAGAGATAAGAATTTAGACAATGAATAGGCAAATTTTTATGCGCCCATAAAAGCATAAAAATTAAATTACTCTGGCTTCCTTGTTTTGCAGTAAAGGAAAATTTATGCCATTGACAAGAAAGCCTATAGTATAAAATGCATGAATCAACTGAGTAATGAAAGAAAGAAGCTAATATCAGATGAAGAGCAACTTAGATAAGCTAAAAAAAAAGTTACATCATAATAAAAATTTAATGACTCCAGATTTTGTTGGAGCTTGTGTGTTCAACTGTGTGCACTATTGCTGGAGGCAATGGCCTATCCCTACTTTGTAACAGATAGTAGATGCTGAGGCCCAGATATTTACTGTTTCAGGTTTTGACTGGCAAGTTTGAGGGAGGGTGTATAAGGTGTTGTGGAATTACCAGAAGACTGAAAGTATAACTTTCCAAGCACTCTTGAGTTTTAACTCAGTTGAGGGCTGTCACAGGAGACTGGTGGAGGGCTCAAAGGATTGTGGAAGGGGGAATGAATAGCTGAGGGCCAGGCAAGACGGCCTCCTTTCACGATGTAATAACTTTATGATACCATGTGAAGGGGGCGTTCCTTATTGGTTCCTGGAGTAAGTTTTCCTGTTC